ACCACAAAATTTCATTTAGATTTTATAATTCAATTCAATTCACCTATCTTTCCCCCTAAAGCCAACCCAAAAGCCCAAAAGCCCAAAAGCCCAATTTTTTCTATCACAAATCGACTCTATAAGCTTTCAAGTAAAGTAATTAACAAATAAATACCACAAAATTTCATTTAGATTTTATAATTCAATTCAATTCACCTATCTTTCCTCTTAAAACCAACCCAAAAGCCCAAAAGCCCAAAAACCCAATTTTTCCTATCACAAATCGACTCTATAAGCTTTCAAGTATCATAATTCTTTTCGTTTATAATTCTAATTGTGTAATTGTTGCCGTAGTCTACGAATTATGCTAACTTTTGCACTAATTTAACCTCTTTTATCACCCTTTTTTATCACCTTTTTCTTTTAATTCTACATTTCTCTTTTGACTTTTCATTGACTAATTTTTGGTGGGTTTTTTTTTTCTTTTGATGAAAAAGGGAATGGGCAGAATGGGGTATTGAAATTCAATTCCCAATTTGACATCGTGCCATCCATCCTCGCAAACATCCTTTCTTCTCACATTTTGATGTTTTCTATAGTTCGAGAAAAGAAAACATTCAAAAATTTGAACATTTTCTCAAGAATTTTTTCTTATTTATTATGGAACTTGCTCCCAAACGACATACGAGAAATTCAGTCGCTTTTCATATTCAAGAAACGTATCGATGCTTTAGATCTAGTGGCTCTTTGCCGTAAGTAATTGGCTTATTGATTTCAGTATGTGCATTTCTCTATGATTTCTTTCACTTTATCGTTTGAATAAAGTATTATTATTCTAACTTTTTCTTTTTCCATTTTCTCTTATTTATTTCATTCTACTTATATCTAAAGGCCTAGCGTCTTCGTTTGTGAACCGATTTTGCTGAAAATCACACAACAAATAGAGAATTATAAATAATATTATAATATCGAATTATCAATATCAATAAGATCCATGTTTAAGCGTTTTCTTAAAACTCAAAAAATTCTGGCCACACCCGGAATTGAACCCTTGACCCATAGATCTCCAACTTTTCCCTGCTTAGCTTAAGCCTGAGCCTAAACTAAGCCTAAGTCTAAGAGTCTGAGTCTGAGCCTAATTCTAGACATGGCAGCGATCTGAAACTTTGCGTGGATACCCCCCTTGGGTTGCAAAGCACAAGGGCAATTGCTTGCCCCTTAGCTCCTAACCGGCTGAGATCCAGAAAATGGGGGTTCAGCCCAGACCCAAATAGACTTAGTGCGAGGCGCTAGCCACTAGCCTTCGCACTAAGTCCAAGCATAAGCATAAGCCTAAGTCAAATCCTAAGCCTAAGCCTATGCCTAACCCTGAGGCTAAGCCTAAGCCTAAGCCAAATCCTAAGCCTAAGCCTATGCCTAACCCTGAGGCTAAGCCTAAGCCTAAGCCAAATCCTAAGCCTAAGCCTATGCCTAACCCTGAGGCTAAGCCTAAGCCTAAGCCAAATCCTAAGCCTAAGCCTATGCCTAACCCTGAGGCTAAGCCTAAGCCTAAGCCAAATCCTAAGCCTAACCCTGAGGCTAAGCCTAAGCCTAAGCCTATGTCCAACCCTGAGCCTAAGCTAAGCCTTTAAGCTTTTCCTTATTGTTAGCGCTTTAAACATGTGATTTAGTCAATTAAGCTAATAAAATTTCAGTTTAATTACACTTAGAGAGACTTGGGTCTTTTTTTTGTTTTTTACTAGCACTACAAACCAAGTCAAGCGATCAAAAGCAGTAAAGTGAGCTTACTCCAAAAGGAAAATTGGGTTTAAAACACGCTGGGCGGAACGCTAAATCGTTATCCAGATTTAAAACACGCTTGGGCATAACGTTGACAAATTGTAAGCTATTGATTGAGATTTGTTTTTAAAGAATTTTTTTGGAGAATTTCATTGCTAGACTTTTGGTAGAAGAAATGTCGATAAAATCGAAGAAATCAAAGACTTTCTATCGATATTATATTGATACTTTATTCAGGACATGAAATAAAGCGTAATCAGTCAGACAATACACAAATCTACACATAAATACATAGAGAATGATGAGATATTTTACTCGGCGATGTGGAGGCGGGGAGAAAAGAAGATAGATAGAAGATAGGCTTCTTGCTTTAATAACCTCAGGCCATGAATGGGCCAACCCAGTGGAAGAGTGAACTCCGCTAGAGAAGGGATCTCTAGTCAGCTCTAGAGAAGACACCTCTAGTCTGGGCGCACGGGCTAGAGAAGAGAACCCTAGGAATGGGCCAACCCAGTGGAAGAGTGAACTCCGCTAGAGAAGGGATCTCTAGTCAGCTCTAGAGAAGACACCTCTAGTCTGGGCGCACGGGCTAGGGAAGAGAACCGAACCCCACACCCTCAGTTTGGAAGTGAGAACTTAACCAATACACCATGAGGGCCACCTATTCACATCAAAAATCGAATCTAATCAAAACTTTCTTAATGATTCAAATCACTCAACTTTTATCCATCTCAAATCCATTTCTTTTTTTTTTGGTCATTTCTTCGCCGATTCAATTGCATTTTTGTCGTTGTCGAAACGAAAAAAAAAAGACAAAAAGTTTCAATCATTTCAATCATTTCCCTTTATTTATCCATTTTCTATCTTAAAATAGTACAAAAATAGTACAAAAATACAATCAAATTGTATTTTTATCCTTTTTAAATCTAATTTCTCACTTAAATCTTTACTTTTCTTTAGCTCATAAGTCTTGATTCAATCGTTTTGTGACGCAAAAGTTGAGATTTAGCCTTTCCAAAATTTCTTTCCAAGTCAAAACCCTAAAACTAACTTTTTCTCATATAAAAAAGGCTTCTTTTTAAATCTAGAATTGATTGAGTAACTAAAAAGACATTTTCTTTGCATTTCTTGTGCTTCTTTTTAAATCTAGAATCACTTAAGCCGATCGTAAACTGTTACTGCCTGATAAGCCTAAGCCTGATAAGCCTAAGCCTAAGCCTAACCCCCCAAAGCTAACTTTGATACTTCCCCAAACGCTTAAACCAATCGTAAACTGTTTTCTAGCTAATTTTTTGATAATTTTTGATAATTCTGGATGTCATGTAAGCTAAAAAAGATAAAAAAATAACTAGATAGCGATTTTTAAAATTTAAGTGAATACCAGTGAAGCTATACCAGCTACCCCCCTTTTTTCTCTAATTTCAATCAATTTTCTTATTCAAAACTTGCCCTGTGCGTTCCAGATAAGAAAATTAATCACTGAGATTTGATAATATTTTGCGGAAAAATTGGCAAAATCCCGGTGAAATGGTTTACAAATAGCTAGAGACAGCTAGAGACTACGAGATTTGACACAACCGAACACCAACCTCTTCAGTTTTCTTCTATTAGGATTTGGTACTTTAATTGGTGAATAATCTATGGCTTTAACTCGACTAGACACGGTGATTACGGTTCGAATTTCAGGCAAGAACCGTCTCAACAATCTCTCGACCAATCATGCAATCATCACAAGAGATTTCTGATATTTCTATACTCTTTAAATCTAATTCTCATTGAATCTAATTCTCAAATCTTTACTTTTCTTTAGCTCATAAGTCTTGATTCAATCGTTTTGTGAGGTAAAAGTTGGGATTTAGCCTTTCCAAAATTTCTTTCCAAGTCAAAAGCCTAAAACTAACTTTTTCTCATATAAAAGGCTTTTTTTAAATCTAGAATTGATTGAGAAACTAAAAGGCCTTTTCTTTGCATTTCTTTTGTTCTAAATTGCTTTCATTTTAACATTTCATCATCTTTTTTTCATTTTAAACTTTCCATTTTTCGTTTCTCTTTTCGTTTCTCTTCATTAATTCCATATTTTAGAGTCAATAACATCAAAAAAAAAGACGAAAAAGACGTCTTTTCTTCTCTTATTTTCATCCTGTAATCACTCATCGATTTTCTATAATTTATTCAAAAAGCCAAAAGCTTTAACGATTTCTAAAAAACGATTTCGAAAACGCATTGAGGTGAGTAAGAGTTGAGAATTCTGGACAATTGATCTATTTGACTAAGTTAGATCTAAGTCTAGTCTAACAGTCTAGTCTAGGAAAGTCTAACAGACTAAGTTAAATTGATCAATCAAAATGCTTATGGATTCTATTTTTAATCGTTTTTAAGGTAAAACTTTATTTGAATTTCAATGGCGTTTTTCTGGTGCTTAGAAAAGGTTGATACTTACAGATACCTTATTTTCTCTAAGTAATGCTTATAGTAGTGCTTAGTTTTTTATAGTAGTGCATCCAGAGCGTCGCCTAAATCCCTCGTAATCTCGAGAACCGCTTATCAGAACCTATCGATGTGGGGTCAGAAAATGTAGCTGACGATGAGATCTTTTGGGGGATTTAAGTGTTGAGCTTCTGCAAAAGCTTCGAAACCGTAAAATAGGCATCAACTCGACTCGCCCGGGTGCACTACTATTAGCGAAAATACGGTAGTCACAAATGTCACATGAATTAATCGACGGGGTTTTCAGGGGTGAGGAATCCGAAACTGCAATCAGATTTGTGCTATGTGCTCTTAGTGCCTCTAGATAGAATATCCGCACGGACTGCAGAAAGCTAGACTGCACGCGTAGCTGGCTTTAGATACCGTATCCTCTCTAATAGAGTGGTGCACCCTGATCGTCGTCTAATCTAAATTCCTCGTGATCTCGAGAACCGCTTATCAGAACCTATCGATGTGGGGTCGGAAAATGTAGCTGACGATGAGATCTAGTGGGGGATTTGAGTGTTAAGCTTCTGCAAAAGCTTCGAAACCGTAAAATGGGCATCAACTCGACTCGCCCGGGTGCACTACTATTAGCGAAAATACGGTAACTCATTTGAACTACTTTAGACCAAATTCAATGAAGATCTAGGCTTGGAATCAAGTTGAAAAGATAAAACAAAGCTTGAAATGTAAATAAGAATCTAATTAAGTGAAATCGATAACAATTTGACCAATTTCTCTACTTTTCAGCTAGTTTTCACCTCGTCGTTGCGATGCTCGGCGCGTCGAGCAGCGAGGACGAGGACGATGAGTTTATCGAGCCGCAGGATGTGAGTAAACAGCTAATCTTATCCAAAACATATCCAGAATATAATTATCGTACTATTTAATAATAGAAATCTCTTAAGTCTCTTAAACTCAGTTCTAAACCTGGCTGGCTCTGGCTAAAAACTTGTAAACTTATCATGACGCTTGAGCTAGAAAATCTATTGTTTAAATCACAAAACTTGCATACAATTTGCATGCAATTGATTAGCAATTAGCTTAAAAACCTTCAGTAAAACAAATACAAATAATTACATTGTAGAATTGAACTTGTTTTTGTTTGTTTTTGTTTGTTTTTCAATTGTTTACTCATCAAAAAGCCAAATTTTTTCCTCGTTTAAAGAATTCAAAAAAAAAACGAACCAATTTTTTGACTAAATAACAAAATAAAGTGAAAGAAAAGAAGCTTTTTTTCAGTTTTTCTTTTCTTTTTTATCTTTGAGTAGCTTTTGCTTGCCCGCTTGCCCAAATTGGAGCCCAAAAATTAGATGAGGAGCCGCATAAGAATGGAAAAGAAGAATAGACAAGAAGAATAGACAAGAAGATCGACAAAGAGGCCACCAATTGGAAGTAGAACAAAGATGAGAACAAAATAGTGTTTAAGTTTAGAACTGATCAATTCAAGGGTCGACTATTTTCCTAGAAACTCCTAAACTCCTATTTCCCAGCTCAAAACTAAGTCAGAAATCATTTCGTCATTGACATTGGCATTGGCATTGGCATTGGCATTGGCATTGGCATTGGCATTGGCATTGGCATTGGCATTGGCATTGGCATTGGCATTGACATTGGCATTGGCATTGACATTGGCATTGACATTGACATTGGCAATGAATAGCTTCATTTGAAAACAGGAATACTGTTACTGTAAAATAAATAAGAAATACTGTATCCTGTCAACAACAATTGATAAATACCATAACTAAAACTAAACTAAAACTAAACTAAAACTAAACTAAAACTAACTAAAACAGGGCTTTGGTTCAAAAATGAACTTTTTCGATCATTTTGAACCATTCATGGACCTGATCCTTGACTCTTTCTGATCCAATATCCATTGATCTGAATCCAGAGTCAAGTCTGCACCTAGCTCTAGCCAGTTCTAGACAGTTTCTTTGACTAAGACAGCTGAAATCTAATATATTATCCTGTGTTAAAGAAGTAAATGTATGGAAAGATTGAAAAAGGAAAGATTGCCTTGCCTAGCTTTAACTTTACTTGAGTTATTAAACCAAAGAATACCTTCTAATAAAGAAGTGAAAGAATCAGCAAAAAGTCGATTTCCGGAGAGGAGATTGACTCTTGCTTAGACTTAGATCTCTTGCTTAGACTTAGATCCGTTGCTTACCGGGCTGCTCTAACCACTGAGCTATGCGTACCTTAACTTACAAGAGAAAGAAGGAAAGAGAAGGGGGAAGAAGAAGGAAAGAAGAAAGAAAGAAGAAAGAAGAAAGAAAGAAGAATGAAATAACTATATCTAGATCTAGAAAGCTAGATTCAAAGCTAGAAAAGAGTTAAAGAGTAAGTCTTGATCAATCTTGTCAAGTCTTGATCAATAGTATACAAAGTTTATTTTAAAGTAGTTAAATAGATAGTTTAAGAGATAGTTAAATAGATAGTTTAAGAGAGAGTTTAAGAGATAGTTTAAGAGATAGTTAAATAGATAGTTCAATAGATAGTTCAATAGATAGTTTAAGAGATAGTTTAAGAGATAGTTTAATAGATAAAAAGACTTCCTAAAAAGATTCAAAAGAAATCTTTGTTTAGAATCGAAACCAAAAGCGTTCTTTTCTCTCTGGCCCAACGATCAGTCCCCGTTCGGCTTCTCCAGCTCCATCAGACAGCGTTTCACAATGTAACTCGTTAAAGGTAAACCTTCGACTTTCAAATCTAAATTCAAATCTAAATTCAAATCTAAATTCAAATCTAAATTCAAATTCAATTTTAGAAGTGTTATTCTTAATAAAACTTCTGAATAATTAGTAAAATAAACATTAGAAATTTATAAAATTCTCTTCTACCAATCAGAAACCGAATTGGCGTGATATGGTAAGTTTTGTTTGAATTTGAAAAGATCAAAAAGAAGTATTCCAGCACTACACAATTATTTTTTTTTAAATCCCCGCTTTATCCTTGATTTTTGCGTCATTTTAAAACAATTTTTGACTAAAAAAACGAATTTCAGAGAGACAACTCGCTTGGACCGAAAAGAAATGATTCGATTGGCGCACAGACACCGCAAAGACAGGCAAATTATAAAGGGATTTTGGAAATTGTATTGAGAAAAGTATTAGAACCATCCAATTCAAAGTCTAGCATTAAAAACAGCTTTGAAATATGGAAAAACTTATTGTTAACATTGCTTACTACTGTTGTGAGTTACTGCAATTGTGGAGTTACTGCTTACTGCAGTTAAAAAAAATCTTTAAACCATCAACCGTACTTTTACAGTCAATCAGAACTTAGCCTTTGAATTGAGGCGTGATTAGCCTAAGCCTAACCCCCAAAGCTAACTTTGATACTTCCCCAAACGCTTAAACCAATCGTAAACTGTTTTCTAGCTAATTTTTGATAATTTTTGATAATTCTGGATGTCATGTAAGCTAAAAAGATAAAAAAATAACTAGATAGCGATTTTTTAAATTTAAGTGAATACCAGTGAAGCTATACCAGCTACCCCATTTTTTCTCTAATTTCAATCAATTTTCTTATTGAAAACTTGCCATGTGCGTTCCAGATAAGGAAATTATCACTGAGATTTGATAATATTTTGCGAAAAAATTCGCAAAATCCCGGTGAAATGGTTTACAAATAGCTAGAGACTACGAGATTTGACACAACCGAACACCAACCTCTTGAGTTTTCTTCTATTAGGATTTGGTACTTTAATTGGTGAATAATCTATAGCTTTAACTGGACTAGACACAGTGATTACAGTTCGAATTTCAGGCAAGAACCGTCTCAACAATCTCTCGACCAATCATGCAATCATCACAAGAGATTTCCGATGAAGATGGGAATCAAGTGAGAGATTAATTTCAGATGCTTTAGACGTACATTCGGTTCCGATTCAGTTCTTATTTAAAGCAAATTTGTTCCCCCATTCGGTTCCTATTTAAAGCAAATTTGTTCCCCATTCTATTGATGGATAGGATAAGTTGGGTGTTGATGGATAGGGAAAAGTTTTGAGGTAAACAGCTATTTCTAGGAAGAGCTTTAGGGAAGAGCTTCCCGTGAATCCAGGAGAAGAAAACTTGTCTCGAGAGGAGTTGGAAAGGATACGGTAAGGGAAATTAAGAAAAATTGAACTATTTTCAACGAATTTCAACTAATTTCAAAATTCTAGCGCTGAAAATGAGGAAGAAGAGCGTAAACGGAAACTCCAGTTGTATGTTTTGGTTTCGCGATGTGTTGCCTATCATTTCAACGCAAAACAACCGACAGATATGGCGAGGAGACAAATGAAAGTCAATAAACAAGAGCTCGCAAGGATAAAAGAGAGGTTTGGCTTGCATTTTTGATTCAGTTTCAATTTGTAATAGTGTAATAGTACCCCACCCCCATAATGACGGTGCGAATTGTTTGCGTAGTCGAGCTTTGAACGCGTTTTTCTCAACACTGATTTATGCTAAAATGCGCGCTTAGGTATCAAAAAATAGCTGAAATTCAGGGCTATTTTTTGATATATGTTGTAGCATTGTAGCTTAAACCAGTGTCGAGAAAAACGCGTCCAAAGCTAGACGACGCAACACTCCGCACCGTCATTATGGGGTGGGGTTTATGCTACAATGCTACAACATATATCAAAAATAGCTGAAATTCAGGGCTATTTTTTGATATTAAAGTGCACATTGTAGCATAAAGGAGCGCGGAGAACGGGATGTTTAAAGTTAGACTACGCAACCATCCCGAAAAACGCGTTTTTCTCGACACTGGTTTAAGCTACAATGCTCGCTTTGGTATCAAAAAATAGCCCTGAATTTCAGCTATTTTTTGATACCAAAGACGCGTTTTGAAAGTACGGGTGCTTTGAAAAAAATGAAATACTAAAAAACTTTTGCGACTACGCGACTGTACGAGGGCGGTGGGGTACTATTACAGTATTTACGGTAGGTTAAAGTTCTGAGAAATCACCAAATAAACGTACTTTGTACTCTTGGAAACGTTCAGATTCTGGGAAAATGAAAAACGATTGAAATTTCCAGATTCAACCAGTTTATAAAGGTGAAACGCAAATCGTTGCCGACGAAGCTTTCACTAAAGCGATTCAATCATATTTTGAGGTTAAATCTCTATAAATCGCTAATCAAATGGCTTTTCAGGTTTTCTTAAGTCCGAACGGGTGAGTAAAGTGGTAATGGCTGGCGGTTTCTCGCAGCATGACTTTCGAGAGGGTGAGTATACTCAAAAAATGGCTTTTCTAAGTGACTTCTCTAATTTCTAAGCAATCTGAGCCCTTAGGCTTTAAAATCTTAAATAAATGATGGAAAAGATTGATCTTTAAGTCTAAAACTGATTTGGAAATCCTTTAAAATCTTTGTTTAAATCAATCTTTCATCAAAAAATCAAAAATTCCAAAGAAGTTGCCCACGGCTGAACCCAGCGTCGCCACGGCCACAGCGTGGAGTACTAACCACTATACTACGTGGGCCGAAAGCTCGAGTGAATGAGGCGGCTTTTCTAGGCGATTGTGAGGGGAATTTTCAAAGAATCTCCAGAGAATTACTTGCAATTCTCGAAAGTTC